CTTGTTATGTTTGCTTGTATTTGTGTTACCCTCCAACTGCTGAGAGTCCGGCCCTGGAAATATATAAGATGATGCAGGTGAGGTCAGGGCAAGGTGCTAGGAGACATCAGTGTCGATACAAGTACAGACAATCGTCATTGTGGGGTCCCTTGCTCCCCAACATGCTGGGGAACCAATAAAAAGGAAGAAGGCATGGACTCTGCCCAATTAAAGACCTTATTGCATGTGTGTAGGAAACCAAATTTCTCTGGGCTCCGCGTGTATCACGGTTACATATGAAGCACACATGTTTTTAAACTTAAAAAAAATCAGGATGAAAGGTGCCTTTTTCCCTTTTGCACAGACATGTTACATGTTTCTGTAATCACATCTCGTCAGCAAGGGAGTATCTCACGCCCCGAAAATTAATATGAATAATTTCTGTTTTTCACCATTTTACATCAGGTGCTCCGGTTCGATAAGCAGACCCTGTCTGCCGATGACCCTGTACACCCTCCCAAAGCGTGCAACGTCACAAAGGACAGTCACCATTGTACACACATGTTTGTGGACAATAAATGCATACACGGGAGGGGGGGGGGGCACGCAGATTCTGGGTAGCGGTGGTGTGGACAGGGGGCAGGCCATATGCACCTCCCTCTGACCTGCCTGCACCAGTGTCCAGGCCACACCCACCCTACCTGATAGGCTGAAGTTGGATTGGTGGAGGTTCCGGATTGGAGGGGGCTGGTTCTTGGTAGGTGACGTCTTGGCGGACGGCGAAGGGGTGATGTACTTCTGGGTGATGGGGATGTCGTACACTGGGCCGTCATACATGCCTCGTGACACACCGTGCATCGCCATTGCCTGTGAAGATAGTGTGTTCAGAGTCCACCGTCCACGCCACTGCCAGAGGACCATCAGAACACCACACAACCACCGATGTGTGGACTGGAACCTTGAAGTTCAGCGTGGTTCTGGTAGGGCACTAGGTGTTGGACCCACAGAGATAAGGGACATTGAAAGAGGAGACTAGGTATCTATTAGAGCAGAGTTTCCCCAACCCAGTCCCTGGGGAATCCCGGACAGTCCACGTTTTTGCTTCCTCTCAGCTCCCACCGCACCTATACCAGGTATTCAGTGTTCCTGATTGGCTGGGAGCTGGGAGGGAGCAAAAACGTGGACTGTCTGGGGTTCCCTGAGGATGGGGTTGGGAATCACTGTATTAGAGGGACAACTTATAAGGGTGTTACTTATACTAGGCGATCCGTACTGTGCCCGAGCACGTTTGACCCCCAAAGTCCAGTTCATTTGACTAGTGTGATTGTTCTACTTGAAGAGGTGGGCCTGAATATGGTTAGTCAGACTTGGGCATGGTAAGCATCAATTGTGTCCTGCGCCTACCCGCTTGATAATATGGGCCCAGGCATGATTCAGCTGGACCTGGGCACAGTACGCAAAGTGTGATCGCTAACTGTGCCCGAGTATGAAACACAGACATGACATCAGTGATGTGACTGTCACACACATACGCAAATGTACACTATACATGAACTGGACTCGGAAGGAACAGTTTGGGTAGGTGGGATACAGATCGAGTACCAACAATAATTTAACAGACATTGTGGCAAAGGGATCACTTTGGTCTATGGCAGAGGTGCAGTGTTTGCTGGAAATTTGGGCTGACAAGAGTATCCAAGAACAACTGGAGGCAACACACAAAATGTCTGAGATATTTGGTAAACAAAAAAATCTTCATATACGTGCAGCACAAACTCGATAAATCTATAGCAGGGCCATGTGGTATTGCACCCAAAATGATTCCAAAAAAAATAAGGCCATTAATAATGAACTCCATTGTGCTGTGCTGTAATGCTTTTCTTCCTATGTTTTATTCAACACAAAAAGTCTCACAATGATGATGAAAGTGTGTGCTCAGGCCCAGAACGTTAATCGTACGGTGAGTGCAGACCAGCAGGGCAGTGGGGATGAGGGATAATCGTTCTTGGGCACTGCACAAGGCAACTGGGGCAAGTATGAGTACACCCTAAGGCATAGATGCCTTGTATAATCATTTATTTATATGGTTCATTTTCTGCTATTCATCCAGTCCAGGGTGTAGCAAAGACTAGTGCCCTACTGTATGCTGTCTGGGATAGACTCCAGGTCCCTCCATGATCTCGATCAAGATAAGTAGCTGGGAGACATAAGGAAGAATCAATAGCTAGATTTTCTTTTTTTCTGAGAAATTCAGAAGCTCAAGGCCCTTTGGATGCCCTCGGGGCACAGCTGTAACTCTCTGTTCAAGTTGCCCACTGTGACATGTTCTGGGGTTTGACCCATGGCTCAGGGCCTCTGACCTTGTTCCTCATCTTGATGCGCTGGTAGACGTAGTCGGGGAAGGGTTTGCGCGGGATGAAGTGTCCGGCCCCCTGCTGCATGGACAGGTTGGCACCTTCGAAGGCGATCTTCCCCTGGCTGATGACCACCAGTGGCCCCCCTCGACACTCCATGCCCTCAAAGATGTTGTACTCCACAGCCTGAATTGGGGTAGAAGAACAGGGAAAGCGAATTCTTTCCTCAAGTTATTTGCACAAAAGGCATCTTCCATCCAGCGAGCTATCACCTATCTCACCGACTGCTGTGTCTTGGCCGTGATGGTCTTCATCTTGTCGGGGTCCCAGATAACGATGTCGGCATCGGAGCCCACTGCTATCCGGCCCTTTCGGGGGTACAGGTTGAAGATCTTGGCAGCGTTGGTGCTGGTCACGGCCACAAACTGGTTTTCATCCATCTTGCCCACAGCCTAAAAGAGAAAAGTGAGGGAAGGTGGGGGGGATATAAAAGTAAATCTCCTGGCTACATGCTTAGTACAACTGGCAAGATGTTTTAAGCCATTGGCTTCACAAGCAACAGCCAGTTCTCAATTAGCACATTTTCACAGGTTAGTATTGCAACTATTTAAGCTTCCATGTCACAAAATACTTAAACCACTGTCACCACTATTACTCCTGAGTATTATTTCATTCAGCTTACCACAGCCTTGTCCCACACGAAGGACATCCGCTCCTCTACCCCGTTGGTGCCTTCCGGAATGAGTGTGAAGTTGTCCTTCCCAATGGCCTTCTGGGAAGTGCTGTAGCCACAGTGGGAGCTGCCCACTGTCTGGAGGTCCCCGCTGCAGGGTGCAGCACAGCACAGCGTAAACACAGCAGGTAAGTGTTACCAGCAGGACGACAGTACAACGTGAAACAGCTTCAGCTTCAGCATCACATAAACACAGCACATCACATCCTACCGAGATGGAGCAAAAACAGCTGGAAGGTGATTCCCGCTTTCAGAGAGGCTCAGATACAGCTTCACTCCACCCAAAGTCCAGGGCTGTCATGTTTACTACATATTTCATTACTGTCAGATTATTGCACTTTCTGGATTTTTAAAAATGCATTACATTCCTCAAGAGATGAGTAATCAACTACTCTGCCTTTCCTTAGTAAATAAAAAACATGGGCTGCTTTCACCATTGGAAAGGCAGCCGGCGCGATACCCCTGGCTTCAGGGTGTGACCCCTCTGTGACACTGGGCTGTAATATCGACAGCCATGGTTAGACCTCAAAGCTGTTGTCACCTCACTGCCTGCTGATCTGAGTCATCACAAATTAGCCACAATATGGTGTAAAAACGAAGACGAAATCCCCTCTCCTCATTTAGCGGCTACCTTGGTTAGCCACCATCCACAATACAAGGTAATAAAAATTTCATTTCTGACCAATATGCGCATTTGCGACCAAATTTTGTATGCCTGAGAACAATAGACGCTGGAGTGCGAGTAACGCTGGAGTATCTGTACGAGAAATTTATCTGAATGAGACCGTAGCAACTAGTGATCTTCACAGTGTGAAGCACAATCATGGTCACACATAGGCTACTGTGGTTTTCACTTAGCCACCATCTTGCTTAATTACCTGGTCTTTGGACCAGACCTCAGTCACTAAACAAAGAGAGGATGTATACCTTTTATCTTTTTAGCATTGCATGTTACAGGATTAGTACGCATGGAAGATTGATGGATGATAAGAGCCAGTAAATGTTTAAGTAGCTAGATGACTTCCTCAAATGGTTGGTGAATACAGCCCGGCTCTCTGTGCCTGTCCTGGTCCAGAGCCATACCAGGCCAGCAGAGTGTTGAGATGGTCCGGCGTAGTGGGATCGGGGCTGAGGGGCGGGGACATCACAAACGCCGCAGCCTTGGCCCAGTTCTTGCTCCAGTAGTGTGTTCCGTCTGTTGCCAAGCTGGCGGTGATGGGCTCCCCGTACACCACAGATCCTGAATCAGAAATGACATACAAGTATGACAAGGACCTGAGCCTCATAAAACCAGGTTCTGTGCTTCCTCTGAGACCCAGAAGCCTAACCCTAACCCTAACCCTTTTCCAATACCCAACTACCATTGTATTTCCCTGTCTGTCTCAAAGGTGTGCACTAGAGCCCTGCATTGGGAGCGGGATCCCGCGGGTCCCGCGGGTCCCAACGCAAATCTCACGGGATTGGGCGGGTTTTAGATTGTCGTGGGCGGGAGCGGGCAGGAGTGACAGAGACAGCGGGCGGGATTGGGCGGGAATCGTCAGAAATTCAGCGGGAGTGGGCGGGAGCGGGATTAAAAAAATAGTCCCGCGCAGGGCTCTAGTGTGCACCTTGAAACTGCTGTTATGCATCCACTCCAGGGTGTAGCAAAGATGTGTGCCCTGTCCTGCCTGCTGTAGGCCCCACCACCCCCACCCTCACACTACAGCCCCCCCAGCCCTCCATCCCTGCGTCATGGGACAGCGAGACTACAATTCCACTTTTGGTCATCCGTTTGCCTCTACAACTGTAATGTTTAAACTAAACTATTATGCATTTACTATAACATGGAAAAACAACATAACTATGTTTTTAATCCCAAAGTAAAATCTTTTTGTGTTAGAAACAAATTTCTCTTCGGAACAGTTAGATTGGTTCATCAATTGTTCCTTCTAACATATATTGGGTTTAAAATCAATCTGTAATCTGGTTCAAACCACCATTTTTCAGTGACTCAAAAGCTACATCTGACAGAACAATATTAATAATCATTGATACTTTTATTGATCCCCATGGGGAAATTGTCTTTACATCTCCCTCAGCTTGTTCTTTGTAGAGTAAGTTGTCCATGAAGGGCAGCGACCCATAGCGGCACCCAGGGAGCTGGGGATTAAGGGCCTTGCTCAAGGACCCACAGATGTGGTGAGACTGGGTTTGAACCAGCAACCTTCTGATTACAGGCACACAGGTTTAGGCCACTGTGCCACACACTGCCCCAAATAATAATAATAATTATCGATACTTTATTGATCCCCTTGGGGAAATTGTCTTGACGCATCCCTCAACTTGCTCTTTTCCGTGGAGTAAGTTGTCCACAACATATTTGTGTGTAGAAACCAACAGACCTTTCTTCCTGGACTGGGCCACGATGTCCGCCGCGCTCTTGCTCATCACTTTGGTGATGTAGATGGGGCAGTTGATCCGGTTGCCCAGGGTGACGGCACGAAACACGGCTTCGGACTCCAGCTGTGAGGACAAATGGACAACGTCAGGCCTATATGTTGTGATCCTTCTTAGCAGACCAATCATATGCTTCACTGCATTGCGGATAGATCTAGCAAAAATAAATACCCTTAGTGCCAGTAACCAATAATGATAACCAAATGATAACCTATTACAGATCGATTTTAGCTAATCAGGTGCCTGTTGCGTGACAAAGGCCTCTCTATATTTGATTCAATACGTTTAACGGCATACCCAACAATACTATGTTTAACATTTTTCTGGCAGACCTATCTAGTATAGATATTTCAACAACAATATTGGCCTAAAAGTCTTGGCTCTAGTATCGGCACATGGACACCGCAGGCTCACCTCTTCTGGGCGACTCAGCACATGTCCCTCCGGCCCAGTGATGCCCATCCCGAGGATCTTACTCTGCTCCTGATTCAGACAACATATTACCAACATTAAATTAACATCAGGCTGGTTATTCACTTAACAGACTGATTTATTGAGCAGAGCATACAACTGATACAAAAGCGTAGCAAGTCTAGATGGGCTACAAGACCGGGTATATTGAAATGCCTTCCCCTGTCATCTAACTGCATACACCGCTCAAGCTGAAGCTCATCAGCCTTAATGAATTAGCAGGAACAGCAGGATGGTAGAAGATGGTGACCAAACAGAAGTGCGGCCTATGGCTTGGCTGTGCGGAGCTTCTGTGTTTCCCCTGAATTCATGCAGGCTTTCTCCAAGCTTGTCACATCCCAGTGCAGCGCCTGATCACTACTACTGTACATTTAAATGGCGCCTCTCACTAAATACACTTTTACATTTACACAACTTAATATGCAGGATATTTACTAATGTACTTGATGTCACTGTCATACCACCATTACAAATCCTGGAATTCCTTCACAGACCACTAGCATTACAGGACAGCTGCCTTAAACTCAGCCAATAACTTTAATCTCTTAAGACATTTTGCTGTATATATTTTGCTTTACTAACACAAGTAAACAGATCAAGATGAAATCAGAACCCATACAGCAACACTGATCTCCAGGAGAAGATGATTCGAGTGACTTGTTGCATCCACAGAAACATAAACCGCTTGGTAAAACAGAGAAGTGAATGTGATAAGAGATGTCTCAGAACAGGACTGTGATTCCTATGTACAGAATGTTGTTAAAAGGAAGAATGGACACCATTGTCTCTGGTAGGACATTAACTCACACTACTGCCTTCTTTCACACACTAGTGACTTTTGTCTTGCTTTTTAGTAACTGTTCTTTAATGACCTTTTCCAATCCATCAGAGAAAGTCCCGGCCCCCATTCATCTTCAACTAAGGTTTGATCATTTACGAAAAAATGAAAAATGCAAGTGTGATAATGACAGAAAGCACAGACCTAGAAAAATACAGACATAACAGAATGCTCACTCTGAACTACAATGCGAATGACAAAGTCTTTATAGCATCAGAATAGACAGGGGTACTGCTGATCCCAGATCAGCGGGAGGGAGAGACAATAGCCTGGTTTATGGTAGTGTTCATTGGGTCCAATCAGCAATCAGATGGGATGGATTAACAGTCCATGGGAGCTTAGGGAGGGTTGCTCCCCCCACCCTGATACTGGGGTATGTGGGAACCTCTTATCGGTGTGTCTGATCCTCACCTGAGCGATGAGGTCACCGTTCTCTGCGTGCACCAGCACCACGGCGCCCAGCTCCTTGAGGAACGTGAAGGCCTCATAGAGCTGTGGGGAAGGCGGGGAGGCAGGCAGTCAGTGTGCTGCTGTAGGGTGTCTGCATCCTGTGCCTGCATTTCACTTCAGGATCAAATCTCTACCACCGGCCATCAACCAGCATGGCAACGACCCCACAGGAGGGCAACACCAAACTCGACCTTTCGGGTAATGATGGACTGACAGGCGACTTCAGATTTACACATTCAATCACAATAAACACATTTTCAATGCTACAACACACCACATATCACAACAGGAACTGGAAAAAACACATTTTCTCAGAATATGCTTTACAAAATAATCCTAAAACAACGTCATGAGACAGACATCTTTGCATTGATCAGTAGACAGGGAAGAAAGGGCATATTCTATCTATAGTAAAAGGGCACCATAGTCAAAAAGTGGACATACATGGTTCTCATTGGGCAGCCACATTATAATAGTTCAGATGCAAGGTACAGTAAATGCTAGCCATGCTATCAATTTTAACATGTGGCTAAATTCCAATCCTTAAGGAAGTGATGTAAGAGAGACCACACTGTACTGTGAATCATGCATATTGACATGAAGGTTTTAGGCACTACATAAGTTCAGCTTTCTGGTACACTCTCATCTGAAACACTCAGGGTTGGGGTCAGGGTTAGGGTTAGGGTTAGGGGTACCGCACCTGAGTGTCAGTCATCTGGTACACTCTCATCTGAAACACTCAGGGTTGGGGTCAGGGTTAGGGTTAGGGGTACCGCACCTGAGTGTCAGTCATCTGGTACACTCTCATCTGAAACACTCAGGGTTGGGGTCAGGGTTAGGGTTAGGGGTACCGCACCTGAGTGTCAGTCATCTGGTACACTCTCATCTGAAACACTCAGGGTTGGGGTCAGGGTTAGGGTTAGGGGTACCGCACCTGAGTGTCAGTCATCTGGTACACTCTCATCTGAAACACTCAGGGTTGGGGTCAGGGTTAGGGTTAGGGGTACCGCACCTGAGTGTCAGTCATCTGGTACACTCTCATCTGAAACACTCAGGGTTGGGGTCAGGGTTAGGGTTAGGGGTACCGCACCTGAGTGTCAGTCATCTGGTACAGGTCCTTGTAGGCCATGTACACCTGGAAGGAGTTCACCCCTGTTTTTGCGCAAGGAAGAAAACATGATTTTTACAGGTAAGTGCATTTTACAAATGTTTCATTTTTACTTTCAAAGTTACTTTCAAACTAGATAATGCATTTGGTGCTTGTTACATTGGCTTTTTAAAAATTGTATTTGACTAATATTACCTAGAAATAACACTTTAAAGGCATTTACATGAATTACAGGAAACTGGAGTTGACCAGCATCAGTGACCCCTGGACAAGCCTCCTGCACAATCTGCCCATGACAGGACATTGAACGTAATTCAGACGACTCATATCTACAGAACATGACAGTATTTCTTATCCGTGTGTCTGATTTCTCCATCTCGAAATTCCTTTAGTGATCTCAGAGAGAGCAGAACAGGCTCCATTCCATCTTCATCTAAGGAACATGGTAGCAAAACCCAAAACACTAAAGTAGAGTTATTGTCCATTTCTGGGCTCCTGGAAACTAAGACGACAGTGATTCACAGCCAATCTGGATGGGACACACCCCGGATGGGACACACCCCGGACGGGACACACCCCGGACGGGACACACCAGACAGCACACACCACCGGATGGGATACAAGTCCATAACAAGACACCTACAAAGTCAATCTGGCATCTTCAAAGGTGGTTTTACATTCCATGAACTGAGAGCTAGTTTTTTTATTAATCTTCAATTTCCTACTGTACATCCCATGATTTCAGAAGAAGCACACCCTGCAGCAGCGTGACCCACTGCGGCTCCCTGCTCACCCTTCTCCTGCACCAGGATCTCCAGCTCCTTCTTCACGCCCTCGTGCCAGTGGGGGATGTCCACGTGGAAGGAATAGTCGCAGCAGGACTTCTTATCTGCTGCCTCATGCCACTTCTCAAAGGCCTGCAGCAGGCTGGCCCCAGGCTGGGGGGACACGTGGTCGACTGGAAAAGGACAGTGGGGTGAGGACAGTGACCACAGCAGACAATGTAATCAAGGCTCTTTGGAGAAGATCAGGTGGTCAGAATAGCAAATCTCCAGGCGAGATGTGTTACGTTATTTCATTACGTAGCAGATGCTAAGACTCACTGATCATGGTGGTGCCCCCTGCCAACGCTGCCTTGGTGCCCTGGAAGAAGTCATCCACAGTCTGGGTGCCCAGGTAGGGCTTCTGCAGGCAGGTGTTGACATCGATGCCCCCGGGGATCACCATGCGGCCGCTTGCCTCGATTATTTTCACGCCTCCTGGCACGATTAGGTTCTCCCCCAGCTGTCTGTCATAGGTGGTGAAATTGTCACAAACACACTTTCAAAAAGTATCCTTCACAGTATGATGTACTACTCATATCTCCACCTTTTTCCATATAATACCCTAGAGGGGTCCTACTGTTGGGTGGAAGATGCTTAATCGGACTTGCTTCACTAAGAATATTCAACAGAATAAAGAAGTAAAGTAAAACTACATTGTTTTATAATTAAATAACTTGTCAGCTCATTGATTAGTTCCAGTCTGGAAAACCCTTCACAATCACCACCTTATTATGATGATCTAAAAGGGTCACTACTTACTTAATCACCCCATCTTCCAGATAGATATCAGCAAAGAAGGACAAGTCATCGTTGACTACCCTTCCACCCTTGATGAGCAGACGGTCACTCTGGAAAAAGAGGTGGTTTGAGGTGTAAGCCACATCCTACTGCCAAACACAGAACGAGAAGCATGTTCGACTGGTCACTGGGGGTTGACCTTTCATCTATGCATGGTCCAATTAACAAGTGCAGAGCATATGACTGCCCCTGAACAATCAGGACATCCACAAACATCCTGCCCCCATCTATTAAATCCAACATCTATTATGTGGAAAAACACCTAAAAGGTTCATACTTTCATGCACCGTGTGCATATTAGCTGCTTTGTCTGGACTGTGGTCTGAAAAAGCAAAGTACAGTCCTGCTCCTGGAGGTTCATTCTTGCTACAAATGTAGAAAGAGTCAATCAGTCCTTAACGTGGCTCTCAACTAAGGCTGGAGCTACGAAAATCCCAACGATGTTTAACAAACAGACTAGGAAAAGCCACCCTTTGAGAATCACACGGGGGTCAGTTCATTAAGAATATAGAGATCCTCACCCCACAGACTCCTAAATGACTTGACGGCACACAGATGGCTCAAAACCAATAGCCAGAGTGAGCTTTTGCGCCTCCTTTGTGCTACACTTGTCTATAATGATATTATCATCCAGATTTAATTCTATAGATTCAATCTGAAACTCAACAGAATCATTTTCTCCCTCCGTCTTCTCATCTCCACATTGCTTTGTTTCAGAAGTCGCCTGGCAAAGCCTCCCTGGTTCCATGTCAGCTTTTAATTAAAAGCAGGCAGCTCAGTATCACTGTGCTCTCAGAAAGTCCCAGTGTGGAGGGCGGGAGTGCGCACCACTCTCCAGGCTGCAGGCTCTCTAGACAGGGACCGTCCCAGGAGAGATGACACTCGTGGGTCTTGAAAAGACCATGCAGAACAAAGACAGACAATAACCAAGCCTATCTCAGTAGATATAAACCGGCACTGAACATCACTCTCCCATAAGTTTGGTCAGCTGCTTTTTATTCAATTAAAAGCATCAGATTGCTTTTAATTGACTTCTATGACACTTCTGATGACCCTGCCGCTCTTCCAGCCTGGTCTCGCATGGTGGTGTTTGTCTGCAGCAGCAGTTTCATTGACATTTATTCAGATATTGTTACATTTTTCCAAGTATGTTAATTGCGTTTTTAAATTCTAATCATATTTCTCATTCGTTGTGGCACAGCTCTTACATTCCCCGCCCTCCTTCTCCTTCTTCAGCAGTCCAACATATCCACCTCTGCTCCAGTGTGACATATATTCACTGAACATCACTGAGCTTTACACTGGCAAAAGTACAGTAGCTGGAAGATGGATGGATGGATGAGGTTGATTCTAGGTCAATCATTAATTGCCATATCTGACCTATAACACATTTGGAGTCAATCGATAAGCATCCCATGGGTACAAATACTGCTGTCAGGGATGATTTGTAGTTTCACTGTACACTGCGTCTGTGCCCAGGACCAGCCGCTGCACTGTATGTCTGTAGAGAGTGTGCCATTAGCTTAGCACCCCCACACACTGCAGCGACACTGCAATGGAGGACTCTGTCTGAGCAGCCAATAAGCCCCTATGGACTAAGCCTCTTTCCACCTTAGATCCCTCCCACTTCCCTGAATATATATCACCCACCACCAGCATAAAATACCTACAATTCCTCACAAAGCATTAGCTGTTAAACAGAGCATGATGTCACAGGTAACTGAGCGAGCTTTGTCTGTGCCACACCTCTGCTGCAGGATCTCTGTGTGTGTCCCCCCCCTCAAACCCCCCCAACACCACTCCAGCTTTACAGCACACTAAGCCAGGCGATTCTAGGATTTTTTTTTAAGGTGGGGAGCATAAGAGGGACCATAAGTCATACGATGGGGTCAACCTTATCATTAGCCAATCATATGATTCTGGATCAGTGAGTGACAGGGGAGGGGGCATGCCAGAAGCCAATCAGCTTTCAGCTGGGGCCAGTGTAGGAGGAATTGGTCATTTTATTCACTGAATAATCATTGAGGTGAAAGCTTAGAGAGAACAAGCTATTGCTAATTCCAACATTTGCTGGCTGCTTGCCCTCATCTCTTAATGGGCCAGATGGGCTGTTGGATTCCTGGGGGCGCGGCCTGGGGGTCACACGCCCCATTTCCAGCTATGGCTCATGTCATCGGAAAACAGGCCTAAACATCGCTCACAGCTGCTAGGAGAATCGCAAACACTGGTCTGGCTAGAACAGACAGATCTATTCATTCATTGTTTTCTCCTTTTCTGCGCTATTATTTTAAATGATGGCACTCAGATGACCAGACAAGCTACACGATTCACCAGATACAGAACAAGGACAAGGATTAAATCACCCACTGCTGTTATGATCACTACATTCAAGCCCTAAAGGTCCTGTCAGGGTATCAAAAATAAATGAAAACCAAAGGACACAATCTGAGATTTTAGAAACAGGCCAGAAAATGATCTAAAATACATCATGCAAATTAGTCTCTTGCACACTAATCTGCATTAGTTACAGCTCTAACTTAACCACCAGTTCATAATGTGGGCTGGTCTACAGCACAATGACAACTGTTCCACATACCCTGCCCTTGGTCTACAATGCTAATCTGACATCTACTGCACACCAAACACTGTCCTAACTGAGCACTAAAAGCCAATCAAGACAATTAGATACCTCCTGTACCACCTTGCCTAATGAAGGCCTGTCTACTGTTCTCCACTAAATAACCTCCTAGTCACCAGGACAGCACAGCATAGCCTAACATTTTGCAAGACACCACGAGTGGTATCATACGCTGTGGAGAACACAGGAGGACATGAAGCCAGCGCACAGCATCGAGGGTCTCCTGTAATCCTGCAATGCCAGTGAGAGTTCCATCATTGAACAAGATCAAGGATGGCAAGGGTGGTGACATCACTGCCTTGAGAACAAGCCTGTGCTGTGCCCGTCAGCTGCCATCTGGACGGCGGTGTGATCTGAGGTCACACGCCGCTGAACGGCCCCACAACACGTTGGGTTTGAGGCTCAGCCGTCCTAACTGTAGTGCCAGTTATCCTCGAAAGTACTCAGACTACATTACAGCAGAATATATATATTGATTGCATGCATAATGAGTTTATGGTACGTAGTGTTGTTGTCCCCAGAGGCCTGGCTGCTGTATTAATTACCCGATTTTGTCCTTATATAATGGATGGGATTTTAAAGGAGCCAACAAGATGTCACTTTATGAATATCATAAATACATAATTTCTCCAAAATGATCTGGCCAACTGTGCAAATAGAGGTGTCCTCTGAGAGACAGAAAAGAATGTCAGCGCTTCTGTGAATGGAGAATCGCCACTCTAAAGTATCATCACCTGACGTTGCTTAAATAATAAGACGAATAATGGTAAAAATCCTGATGTCCAAAGAGCTCTGGTGAATTGAATCTTCTTGCTGCCCATATTATGTTACGAAGGTCTTTTTGTGTGATTATTTTCATTGGTACCTAAATTTAAAGGATTCATTGTGGAAATTTCTCTCAGCAGCTGGTCAGAGAAGTATGGGATGATGCCTCAAAGCACTTACACGGTGGAAACAGGGGTACAAGGTTGAGGAGGACATAAAAGAACAGCAGGTTTGTCATTGATGTAAAACGTTTATAAGGCTGCAGGTGACAGCTGTCAGGGGAACCACGATGCAGACAGATTCTCTCAAGGCTCTCAAACGGCTCCGGCATGGCTTTCATTCCCATAGACACACGGGGGCTGGGATGACTGGTGTTTGTGGAGAATACTGCTGTTCACCAACTGTATCTAAATGCTCCAAATGGAACCTGTGTGGAATTGAGAATAAGCACATCCATGTTCCTGGATTGCCTTACTGAGCTTTATTTGGTAATTCTGACATGGCTCACTGGCACACAGATGACTTCAGCCACAGCGAACTGATCAGACAAATTAAAATTATTCAAAATTAACGAGCTTAAACAAAAACCTAGCAGTGATCCCAAAGGCCTCAGCATTCGTTTACTTAGCATCATATTAACATTTTAATGAGCTGTGGGAGGTAAAGCTTCTTTTAATTATCGGTTAATGAAGAAGAACTATGGTGGTTTAATTGAGAAATAGTTTAGGCTGGGTTAGGGTTCTCGTGTATAGTTTAGGCTGGGTTAGGGTTCTCGTGTGGTGTGACGGAACCACGGCCTGTGATCCCACATTAACACCATCCCACACTAGCTGCGGGAAAGCGCAGCGTCAGCATCCAGTTCACCTCAGACTCGGTGCTGTGGTGCTGTTTGGGCGTAGCTGTCTGGATTCTCAGAGCCGCCCGGCATCACGGATGATCTGAGTTCCGCTCTTCCAGCAGACCAAAAATTGACAAACTCCGGAAACTCTCAATGGCATGCAGATATGCAGGGTACCATTGAAGATTCACTTACGTATCTGATGACAGACCACAGACAGGATTTTAATATTAACCAATAATCCATAAAAACGTATTACTCGTTAATATACTGTATTGTGCTAGTAAATTGTCTTTACACCTATACTAAGTACTATACTAACTCCAAACATTAAGTATATTACTAAGTACAAAAAAATGAAGTTAAATTGCTAACAAAAGAGTTTCAATTTATATCATTTTTAATTAGACAGATGCAAAAAAAAAAATTGTATTATTTGTGGATGTCAGAATCTACCAAACCAGAATGAAAAAAATGACATACAATATGAATCCCTGGTCCAAATAGAGTGGCTAAAACATTTCACTGTTAATTTTTTCAGGGAGTGACATATCACGTAGATTATTTAATTACATACCCATAAATGGCCTAACCCATTCAGTCAGGTGTACAAAAAGCATATAAAACTAATACAATTAGCATCAGTTATTTCCTTGATCCTTTACATATATAAAAACACAGAACTCATCAACAATAATAACACTTAATTTTCATTTTTAAATATTCCAGAATAAACTTAAATTTATAGCAAAATTTGTATCTAACGATACATTCATCAATTAATCAAAAGGGCGTTGCCCCCGCTTTCGAGTTTGATTTTTCTCTCCTGCAAATTGTTTTTAATTATTATGTTAACAGGTGAATTTTCAATTTCTGCAGACCGCTCCCATTCTACAATTCGAAGGACTGCAGCAGCATTTTCCGGAGGAATTATCACCTCCATCTTTTGTCTGTCAGCTTCTCACTCGCTNCGTGTACATGTGCTTTGCAGAAAATACACGAAAATCTACACACGACCGGGGCTCGCCTTGTGTTAGTGCTTTTACTTAAATATCCGCACTTTGCTCAGATATATCCGTATATGTAATACAGAGAGTACCGCCTTCAAAGGACCAGTCTAACCCAGTTTCCCCCGTACGATCAGCAGCATGCTTTACTACGATTCAAGCAGCAGCCGCCCCCAGAACCTTTCAATTTAATTAAATTAACCTCAAAATAGCACCCAACTCATGCTTTTAAGCTATTTAGGAATCTGTGCATCTATTTTATTTGTCTAAATGCATGTTGTATTATCAGATCACCACAGAGGAAAGGAAAAATGCAAGGCTGGTGCATCCTGGCCGCCCCACGGGGCTGAATCGTATTTATTTGATGTCGATCTGAGAGGCTGATAGACACGAAGGGTGGACACTCGTATCGGTGTCACGATGCCCATAAGGACCGTGGTGACATTAAAGTGTGCAACAATGAAAGGCGTCGATCGGTGGTGAAACGCCTTCTCGCGGCGCCGCTTACCGTCAGATGGGGGATGCTCTTCTTCCCTTGGTATCCTGTGCCGGACATTCTCGAGCAATACGATTATAGCAGTTAAACGGGAGGTGTGTGACTACGTCCGACTGATGGTCTTTAAAAGTGTAACTGTACTGGACACCTTTTGGATGCAAAGAAAGCGACGCGTCTCCCGACGGGGGTGTGTGTCTGGAATTTCAGCTGGAGGTTGCAGCGCCCCCTGGCGGCGGTCGGCGGTAACACGTTGGGCGGCGCGGTGCCTCTCAGTTCGCCTTTGGGAGAGATGATCGTCTGGACGCCGGGTCACCGAACCAAACACAGCCTCTCCAAAATATTCACAAAACATCACAGCATCTCTAAAATACCGACCAAATACGGTCGTAACAGCGTAAAAGCTGTCCTTTCCAAATAAATTTATTATGGAAATCGTGCAGTATAAATAGAACTACAACGCTACAGAAATTAACTCCATCGGGGAAATCAAATTCAATTTCAGCTCTATTAGCCTCAGTAAAATATGCCTGAGGGTAGGAATATATTGATACACAATGTACTTCCCAATATTTATTCCTATAACAAATGAATTTGAGTTTTATCTTAGGCTAAATACTGATAAGGTCCTCGAAAACTTTATTGCTTGTATTAGCTGAAATTGTTTAGTTATTTAAAATAACTAAAAGGTGTAACCTTCCTGGATGTATTGATTGATATAGAAAATGTGTAGAAGAGTAGAAAGGAAAATTAATTATCTAACATTTGGTAGAAGTGGCCTAGGCGTACATAGGTTCAGTCTTCCGATTCATTTGGACATTAACCCACCCGGTCGCAACTACAGGACTGCAGGGCACCTGCGTTACTGATCGGCTTCCTAAGCGCTGAACTGACACTTTTGCAAGTCCTGAACGGGGAATTCAACCCCTTCCAGAGCGATAGGTCTGAGATGCGGTATATAATTTAAATTAAATGCCATTAACAAAAAGGGAAGAACTATAGACTGCATGGCTGGGAAAAGTAACCCAGGTCTTGATCTCTGGGGCGTCACGCGCTCTTGGCCCCAGTGAATCTTACAGAAAAAATGAAAAATGTATAAGCATTACCTAGAAAACTACAAGGTTGATAAAAAATATCATAAAAACGATATTTTCTCCTAATAATACGAATACGCTTAAATGTTTGGTGAATAACATTTTCATAGGTAGTTTTCCTTTATTGTAGGCCTATCGTAATTCTTTCTGGATCGCATCCCCTTCGTAAACATGCTACGTAGTTATTTCGGGCGTGTCTTGCATTTTATTTTCTAGGAGAGTGGCTTTGAAATCCTATCACAATATATTTACGATTCGAACCAAGGTAACATAAACGTAACATCAAGAAAGGTTTTGGTTGTCTAGTTCTTAGCAAAGTAAAACGCCATCGATCGTACGCTGCAGCTATCCCGGTGCAACTTTCAGAAAATCGATCATCCGAAAATGAAACATTTAAAAAAAGAAAATATCCACGATCTTATATAAAGTTAACTGTCAGTGGCATCTAAACAGGGAGCGTTTAATCCGAACCGGTGCCTCCGCGGGACGTACCTTCTCAGGCTGCTCTCCTTGGAGAAACTCCTTACCGGACGCGTGTTTTATCTCCACTCCGGGGGTCTTGTCGTCGCTGGGGGAACCGAGCAAGGAGCCGCCGACTTCACTGGTCTCGCTGGCCGACCCACTGAAATAGTCTCCGTCTACAAGGTTTTCCCTGCTCCCGCTTCTCGGGCTCCTGCTCCCCTTCCTCCCCACGCTGTACGAGTCGAAGTCTATCGTCTTGTTCTCGAAGGCTCCCTCCACCGAGGAAAACATCCCGTACGACTTCTGCCGCGGAGTCTGAGCCGTGCTGCCGGGTCTGGCCAGGTAAACCGGCAGGTCATCTTCCTTATTCCAGCGCCGGTGGTAGTCAGACATGCCTTCAGAAATCCAGATATTGGGATCTCTTGGAAGTACTGCGGCGGTGCTCTGCAAAATTAGAAAGTGCTCCTCAAGCCTTCCACCAACTCCGGGCTCCAGCAGGAATACGATCCCGATAGATCCGAATGTAAGGATAAAGATGCTCCCCTTCGACCTTGGTAGCTGCAGCAAAAACAACGTGCTCCACTGTCCCGATGATCGGCAGATGGATCAGAGAGGGTAAGGTTATGGATCAGATTAAGGTAAGGTAAGGTAAGGTAACTCCTTTCGATACCTTGATATACCACTAAAGGTCAGCGGTGGCTGTGGCACAGAGTGAATATTAAACTGACGCAGGTCCCCTATGCAGAGATAATACAGGCAGTCTCTTCTCGTTCTGGGACTGACGTACTTCGATCTTGTCTGAGCAATAAGCCGACAAAAAAGATGTCTATTTTAGGAACAACAGAAATATTAACACATAAGCTGTAAGATCCAATATAGGATTAAGAAAATTAAGAAAATATGAACTCTAATAATTCAAATATAGAGCGAAGCGTCATTGTATTGGGCTCTAAAATTCAGGATGCCTAAAAATATTTATATATATCTACTTATCTCCGTTATTTCAAGCATAACCGAAACAAATCTGGAAAGGCGCTCAGTCTCACCTCAGATCCAGCGCGCCGGAGCTTTTGTGACGTTTCGTTTGCAAGGAAGCAATGTGGATAACAAAAGTCTCACTGGGATATGCAGGTCAGCTGGCAGAAGAGTGAAAAGGTGAAGCTGATCTCCCCCCCCATCCCCCCTGACGCGGACTCCCCCCGCCCCCCCGCCCCCCCGCCTCGGCTGCACTCGGCGCTGTCCATCAGCACCCAAAGTCCGCTGTCTGCGGTGGTTTACAGGCATTCAGCAGGTTCAGAATGGTTGTTTTTTTTGGCTTCGGAGTAAAAGTAGTATTAGTTAGCTATGACGAATTAGATTTTAACGAGTTTATTTTCATGAATCTCCTGTATTGCATATTTCGTTACGTTTTTAAGTGGGAACACTTCCGAGCTTTTGTCATTTAATGTTTGATAAGTAAAGGGAGATACCGCAGTTATAAATCCATAGATGGTAGTCGAAGAAAAATTAAATTTACTGGTGGGACTATGGGAAAATGCAAGTAAATAACTTTTCATCTTCCTCAGATAAAAGATTACGAAATAAGGAGAAAATAAGAGGATAGCACCAGTTCAAAGATGCGTCACCATATGTTATCAATTACTTAATCTGTAATATAGATAGGTCGTAAGTTTTTATAAATCGACATACTTAAAAAAAAAGTGCAACATGGTTCCTTCGGACACAGTAGGGAGGCGAGAGACTGTTATATAAACAAAATGTATTTTCTTTACAGTTTTAACAAAAATTATAGAAATAATGTACATCTAGTGGATATACAAAAATAAGTTTGTGTCAGCAAGTGGATTACCCATGTATTTACATTTAGCTGTAAGTGTTGTGTGTCTACATATCTGAAAAATAAAAAAGAATGGGTCTATAATGGCATAGTAATGCATCGACAAAACACATCATATACGGATCAGGTCTTCTCCTCGAAACAGTGGCTATAGGTGCACAGCATCTTCAACATGACAGTAGGCCTACAGAGTCACCAACGAGGTGAAGTCTTCATGAAGAGCCTACTGAAATATATATGTATAAGGAGGCTTCGCGTTTTGATACTAATCAGTACTCCTTATAGCGGAAGGTTAAAAAAATATAGTTTTAGAATTACTCCAGAATGCCATTTTGAAATGGAGTATAGTGGCTAGTAGCATGGAATGATTTGGGTCTCAACACCTTTTCACAAATTGCTTGTTAAACAGATAAACAGTCATCATGGATCACCAAAGAAAATTACGCTTCCTAACTATTAAATGCAAGTGTCAGAATACTGTACATATTCTGCAGCATGAATATAACAAATATGTGTATGTGCATGAATTTCCATCCATCCATCCATGCATCCTCTATACCCGCTTGTCCTATGCAGGGTCACAGGGGTCCAGAGCCTTCATATCCATGTAGGACAGATAATCGGTATTAAAAGTGAATGTCTATAATCAAGTGGAAGTTAAAGGATGGAGGGCAGAAGCCATCAGTTCTCACATTCAATGTGGAAAGAACAGAAAAACAAAGCTAACCACATTTCCAACATGTGTTATGCTGGAACTGCCTGGAGAAACTCCAGAAAATAGAATCTTAACTTACAAGTTTCAGTAACAAGAGAAAAGGCAACTAAAAAGCAACACAGTGCTGCGAACCTGCAGTAACTATCAAAATCTGTTAAATGCAATTCTAATTGTTACCTTCAATTTTAATACAAGGAAAGGCGTCATATTTGAGAGGATATGTTCTTTGTTTCATTATATTTTAAAACAAAGGAATTTAACTGGACGATTTGGGTGACATTGATGTAATATTTCGTTCATATTAAAAATTCATTCCTAATAAAATATTTTTAAAAGAAATTCCTAAATAGCAATGGAACAACAGAAGAACACACAAAACCTTTGACCTGGTGAAATGGTCTACAAAGAAATACTTTAAAAAGTGAAATTTAAAAAGATTTAAATGGGGCACTTTGTGCAAGGACACTGACTATTTCAATAGGACATTCACATCAGAAAAGAACTAAGGACAGTAAATCTGATTCCATGTTTGTCCTGTGATTGTAGTCAGGAACGATTACACAGGAGAATTTTTCTCAACGTAGGCATAGAGGTATTCTGAATTGATGACTCAGTCGTTTAGTTTGCAGATTTTAAACCTACATTTCCTTGAATGCTAAAACTGCTTGCAGTGCCACGTCACTCAGTGAAGGCAGGCACTGCACAGCATTCGATTTAATGTTTTTTTTGTTCTCTCATTAACACCTCAAATATGTGTGGATACCAGGTTGGAAAAGTTAAGACATTTATCATTTAAGGAGAAAAATCACAACTGTATGAAACTGCATCATAGCTGGATAGCGGCTTACACCATTGTTCAGTCTGAAAGCATCACCACTGCACTTCATGGTGGGTAAAGAGCGAGGGCTTAGGTGTCCAGTTCAAACCGTAAGGACTGATGATGATGGCAGGCTCGTGCGCTGTTGGACAGACAGGTCTTTTGGCACTGCACACTGAGTTTCACTGTTATGGCAACCAAAAGAACAACACAAATTTCATTAAGGTATGACTCATAACCTTGTATCAATTCTCCACATTTCATCGGCAAATTCATTTTGTTTTTTTCTTGCTGCCTTGTGTGTTTTAAGCCTGATTCAGTCAAAGAAGCCTTCAATATCGTCCAGACAGAAAGGGCAGGTCACATGACTTGTGCTCGTGTCGACACACTTGAGAGGGTTACGTCCAGCTGATGTTTCTCTTTGGTAGGTCTGACGATGTCCTGGATGTTTCAGACCACTGGCTCACTGGTGATGGGTCTCAGAGACTTTAGATTGGGCACCTATTCCTCTGCAAAAGGGCAGAAGAGGTCGGTCAGTCCCAAGACAGACAGGTGTGGGCCTCATCTGCAAAAGGCCGAGGCTTATGCAAGGTGATGTGGCACCAAACCTTACGCTCTGCTTACTCCTCGCTCAGCAGCCTTGAGCTGATCTCCTCCAGGAACGCCATTGGTGCAAGGCCACGTGTCCCGTTGACCTAGGAAATAGTTAAAATCTGTCACCTGATAAGCAAAAACACACCATGCTATTATTTATGTATTGTTAGCCAATAGAAAATCCGCCTTTGATGACACTAGACTGAGGCAGATGTAGGATCCTCAGCTAGTCCTGGTTAATAGAGAATTTCTGAGTCACATCAAGGCAACCAATCAAAATGAATTATATCGCCTCTCCATTTGGTCTCAGACCAAATGTGGGAATGAGCTGCTGCCCACGACCCGTCTCCCAGCATGGCTTCTCCTTTTCCCTTTGGTAAGTGGTGCCATTCAGATCAAAAAACCTTCTCACCTTCCTTCATTTTCATCATCGGCAAAAAAGCCACCACAGGAGTTGAGGGACATGGTTGAGGACACTCAGGGACACATTTGGGAAGACATTCAAGGATGCATTCAGAGACCCATTCAGAGACACACTTGGGGAAATTTTACGAGTCTTTATGGATCTTCTTCAAGCAGTCAAATGGGCCGTTACCATGGAGTTGCCTTTACGCCCAAAATAACTCATCCCTCACTAACTCAAACACCAGCAGCCATTACCATTAAACTGGATGCCTCTGCACTTTTGGTGTGTGTGCGTGTGACCGTTTGTGTGCACCTCAGCGTCACAGAAGCCATCCCGTCTGGGCTCGCCGAACACCCACACGGCGTCCCCCTCCCGAAAGGCCAGCTCTCTGCTGGGGTGGATGTTGGGGCTGTCCTTCAGGGGACTGTAGTTATAGATGGCCACACACTGCCAGAGAAGGAAAGGAATTACTGTACGTAAGACAGGTAATTCACAAGCACAGCAGAGAATGCGAGGTGATTCATTCCTATTGGTCAATGTGTCAGTATTTACCTCTACTGATCCCACTGTGAAAGTTTAATGCAGCAAACAGCCCAGGATGTCATACAGCTCGCCGCCATTATATCACATATATCACATCCTACACAGATGTGCCATTTCCACACACTCTTTCTTTTGTGCCACTTTCTGTCATCCCTCCATCCCTTCTCTTTTTCCCTTTTTTCCTTCTCTCTTCAGACTTCCCTCTATCCCCATCTTCACTCCATCTTCTCGAATCCTTCCTTTCATCATTTTCTCGCCTTGGACCTCAGTCACCATATGTGTGATCGGGTAAATGTCAGTCTCAGTAAGTATGTGTATGGAACAGGACAGATGAGAGTGTACAGCACTGCGCAAATGTCTTAGACAGTCAAAGAAAATGTTTATGGTTATTTATCTGTAGCAGTAAGTACATATTTGCTCAGAAAAAAATAACATTACTGAAAAACAACACAATACAAACTAGTACGAATTTCTGCTGTTCTCCAAAAAGTGACCAATCTCTTGTTAGAGGAACATCGCTTCAGTTCCCCAAACTCTCCTCAGGGGCACCCCAGCCATTCCATGTGTCCATTAAATTTCACTACTTGCTCGCTTAATAAATTAACTTACTTAGTAAATTACCTCAGTGAGGTATTGATTAGCCAGATGTGGTATTCTAGAGGTGAAATACATGGATATACTGGATGGTCAATGTAAATACTGGGGTGATTTTTTAATGCATAAGCTAAATCGATAAGCTAACACACTTTGACAAACATAAAATCAGTATTTTTACACAAACAAAAAGGTCATTTAAATAAATTTCCTTTGCCAGCCAAACATTTTTGCACAGTGTTGTACATGCGTGCACAGGCGTGTGGTGGCCACCTAAATCTGGTCTGTGAAAAGGTCACCTCTACCTGAGCTGTGACGGATGCTCACGTCCCGCCTCACAGCCCGGCCCGCCTGTGGTGTTTCTCATTCACTGCTCTGTGGACTCCCTGTGTTTGGCGGGGGGGAACTTTCTAAGCTGACACAGCGGCAGCCGGAATGCCTTCATCGTCCCGCCAGTTAGCATTTTTGCTGTGCTCGTCCATTTAGCTTGATCATTTTAGATACATCCTTCTATGCAAGCTGTGGTCGATTCAATGTGGATTTTCCAAAATGCCACCATGCATGGACATCCAATGAGGGACAGCCTGGGGGGGGGGGGGGCTGACTTACCAGTGCAGGTTCAGTAGGGGACTTCAGGCTGGGCTGCTTCAGCGCTGGGGCTCTGGAGGTCACCTGAAAATACAGAGTACATTCCTGTCCTATTACATTTCCAATGATGGGGAAGCCAAACATGCGACCTTGGGCCGGTCGTGCTGACACAGCGCCACCTATCTCTCAGACATGCCTGTGCGGACTGCTGCTACAGACATGGCGTCGAAACAGCAAACACAGCCCTTTGTTTAATTAAACACAAATCAACTTAGGGTGCCTCCAGGGGTCAGGAACAGGATCCATCATGATGGTTAAGTCCAAACCCAAAAAGATGATTACCTGTAAGAAACCAGCACCTACATGTGGGATTAGGGTTAGGGTTCTTTACCAATTATGGTAAAGAAAGCTATAATGTTACATATTACATATGAATTATATAATGCCCAGAGATATAGTTCAGTGGAACTGCAGAGATTATTAATAGAGACATGTCCTGGATTGAGGACTCCTCTGGGAGCTGTGGTCTAAACCAGGCCAGCCGCCACATTGGGCTCCTGTGACGCTCCTATTGACCAGGAGCAAGAGACAGGTGAGCTGGTGCACAGCCGAAGGGCCCGACTCCATCCTGGGTGAAGACGACCCGGGGACTTGTGGTTCTAGGTCAGTGGAGGATACGATCCTCTAGTCCAGCTATTTGGTTCATCTGTGGAACTCGAGTACTGAAATCAGTCATTTAGCCTGATGAATCTGACAGGACTAAGAATAATCCTCTGTGTGTGTGTGTGTGTGTGTGTGTGTGGGTGAGAGAGTCCGTGAGTATGGTGTGCGTAGGGGATTATGTTATGTGACCCGAGGATTATTATTTGCCCGTGGAGCTGGGGGTTAAGGGCTTTGCCCAAGGGCCCACGGACGTGTGACCATTCTACGGAAGCCGGGGCTCAATTCGGTGATCTTCTGACCACCGGCACAGAGACTCAGCCTGCTGAGCCACATGCGGCCCCCATACAGATGTAACATGCAAATGCATTTCTATCAACATGCATGTGTGTGTTTTCTAACCGGCTGGCTGGTCCAACTATGCCACCGTCGAACAGGGGCCCCCGGGGTCGGCGCTGGCCCAGTGGGTGGCCAGCTGCCCTCGTAGAGGATGTGAACCTTCTCAGCAAGCAGCCCGTTTGAGCCCAGAGTCTGGACACTGATGTGGACTGGCACAGACAGGTCCAGGTTCTCCAGAACCGCCTGAGGACAAGAGACAAGGCACAGTTCCTCAAACTGTCACATCGCATTTACGTATTCTGCCTTGAGAACCGGAACAGCAGTGGTTTTGTTCAATTCATTAAAAGGGAATATTCCCCTGCTGCAGGCATGAATCGCTTGCAGTAACATCAGCAGGTTTCATAGGCTAATTAATACACTCAGACAGTGTCATCAATGGCCCACAGACGGTTATTTATTACTGGATTTACCTTGGTACAAGCTGAGCTCATCACGGATTTGTGGAACTCTCCATCTACATAGACCTGCAAAGAGGAAGAGGACAGGTGACATCGAGGCGGTGAGAACCCAAAGGTGACCACATGAGGTTCAGAATACAGAGGAGTGGGCAAGAATGATGACAAATAAACAGCTTCAACTCAGATCCAAAAGAATGGTGCTGCTGGATCCGACAGATGGTCATTTTTGTGGAATTATTTGTGAAAACTAAGACAAGATTCCATTGGCTGTTAGATTTAAAATAGGACACAGCTGGGGCACGAGTCGATGGTCTTGGGGACTATAACCTCTATCCTGGTTCAGTTTCCTCAAAATCAGACTTAATACCCATTATATGAATTAGTAAGTGAGCCTCTTAATGTCCAGCGTTTTGGCTTCAAACCATGGTGTTAGCATTACAAAGGGTTAAATCCATCAGTCTGAAGTTGGACTTCACGTTATAAAAGATAAACGCAGCCTCCTGACACGGCTGCCATGAGCAGTCAGTAGAGGTGACACGCAGGGTCCCGTCAGCACCCAAGGCAGGCCTGAGGTCCGTAGACGGGTAGTGTAGGAAAATTAATGCAACAGGACAGCTTAGCGTCCCCATAGATACGCAGAAACTCGGCACTGTGGACAGCTACCATGAAGGAGGTTAATATTTCTGTTGCTTAATAATGAGACCTAAAAAGGCACAGTTTAATGATGACCTATAAGGATGGAGCATGGCTGCCTGAGGTCTTGTGGCCTTTGTTCAGGAGGATGTGTGGGAAGAGTAAGCAGGAGGGTCTACCTCCCTCACACAACCTGCGGCGATGAACATGATCAAACACTATCAGCCTACTGTACATGAACGGAGAGATACTGCATCACACTGACAAATATAAATCAATAAAAAGCCTATGAGCACATTCGATGTTTTTTCGAAATATCTGTGAAAGACACCAGGCTCTGTAACAACTGTAGAGAAATATAAGGAAACAAAACCTGACCTCTATGTACCATACAGTATAAACAAATATAAGATAATAAAACCTGCCTTTTATAAACGCATAAACATAATAAGGAAACAAAGCCTAAGTATATACAACATAAAGAAAGAAATAAATACAAACAAAACCTGTCCTATATGCAAATAAACATACGAAAACAAAACTCGCCCTGTATCTACTGTATTAAAGAAATACATGCAAATAAAACCTGCCATATATCTCCAGTGTGAACACAGAGATGCAGAGGTGCATATGTGCAGGTGATACAGTAGAAGTAGGACAGCTGCCCATGAAAGACAGCCGCGATAAGGTGACGTGACCCACGCGGTATCCGCACACGAAGGTGCCGTTACTGCAGCCCAGCTCGTCCAGCGGCGGCCTCTCCCAGCCAATCATCAGCCCGCTCTGCCCCACTGTCTTCATGACTTTCAGCGAAACCACGGGAGCTGGAGGTTCTGC